ACTGGTTGGTGTTCGGAGACCCATCAGGCTCGCAAACGACCTCAGTGACACCATGCTGAGTTTGATGTTGCATTCTTGATACTTCTTCGCCGCAGTCGGGTTAAAGCAACTTCCACTTCAACTAGGTCTATTTAATCTGGATAAAAGTCATTCCTTTTTATTTGGTTTGTTCAATTCTGTTAATCTGATACATATTCTGTGTCAATTGTGCATGTTTGTTTTTCCTTACATTATATCTTGGTTGTTTGATATCGGTGTGGCTTCGCTTGGTGGGAATGTTGACAAGGTGCCTACCTGTCTAACATCCTCCACCTCGATTACTTGCAACTGGAGACTGTGAATCGTTGCAGGGGGCACGGTCCTCGTGGCCGTGCTAGGCCCAGAGAATGTTTGCATCCAGTATGGAGCGAACTAGAGCACAGCCACCACCTTGTGTACGTCTAATACGCATGATTTCCTATATAGATAGACAGGAATGCTGCTTCTGTGCATTTTGAAGGTGTGTGGGCCGGCTCCGTTGATGAAACGTAGCTCCCATCCGCATGCCTCCCCGTGCTATTCCATGGGGTTTACATTGCATATGGGGTATGTGGATGGAGCTGGGGGTTGCGCAGCGCAAGCCACCGATAGTCCCTCTGTAGGCGCAGGCGTCCTGTGGCTGCCACCACGGTGACACGCAAATCCGGAACCGGATGCTGCCAAGGATATATCGGCAACGGTCTATCAAATAGACATGGAGCCATTGAAAACCATGGAATTTTGAATAGTGGATAATAAAAAGTACAAAATATGTGAACGAATTTGATAATGAGTGGAAAAAACGGAACAACAACTTCTTGTCGTTTTACACACACCATTTTGTACTTTTCTGAGGATTTTAAGAGTTAGTGTTCTTGTAGACGTGAGATCAGGCAGACTTGTGCGCAATGCTTCCGCTGCGACCGGTTTTGCGCCATTACTTCCAGCGTTGTGAGCCTTTGGCATTCCTCACCTTTGGGTTCCCAGCTTGGGAGTCGTACGTGGCCAGCGAGGGCCAGACAAGATGTCACTGATTTCATGCATTGTCGCCAGGTTGACGACTGACCTCCACGCGGCCTTTTCCAAAGTAACCCTGCGTGCGCAAACAGGGCGCGCGTGGTAAACGCTCGTCAGGCATGTGCAGAACGTGGCCAAACCATCTTAACTGACGCAATCGGGCAACATTACAAAACGGAACATCCGCCTTACTAAAGACGCGGAGCCTAACCTCATCATTGCACACCCAGTGTTGCGAACACACGCGGGCACTCCTCCGCAAACAGCTACTGTCGAAGATCGAAAAACAATCCAGGTCTTCCACATGGGTTGGCAAGGATTCGCATCGGTACGGCAATGTCGCTCATACACAGGTTTTGTAAACCCTGCCTTTTAGCGAGAGTGAAATGTCGCGACTGCGCCACAAATGTCTTAAGTTGGCAAACAGGTGTGGGAGAAAAGGCCTCAAATTTATGGGTTGGTGTCAAAACCGAAACCTTAACCATTTTTCATGTGCACGCTTCCAGTGAACCATTACGAACCAGGGATCACATTCAGAGATCAATCAGACGTGTGTGATGCAATCGCGATAGCGTGGTCCGTCACGTTCCCAACTGTTCAGAGTTGAGAAGGCAGTTCACGTGACATGCAGTCAAAGTTCTCGCGTCTGGGTGGGGTCAGGTGAAACCAGGTCAAAGGTCATCGGCCTGTTAAACGTGGAAAATAAGTGTCATATGCCCTGATCAGTCTAATTTGTGGACAAGGGTGGATATCAGGGATAACACCCACCAGAACGCACCGAGAGCACATTATTACAGAAAAGGATGAAACCAAGCTACCACTATCCGTTGGGCTCTGCCGCATGTTTCGTTCACATGGAACTGACAGCCAGGGTAGAACCGCGTTATGTAAAGCCTGATTAGTAGGTTTTAAGCAGGGCGATTGGCAGATTAGGTGCCGTTGTTTGTTACATTTCCGCGGAGTGAAACGGAAATTCGATGCATTATAGAATAAGAATAAAAAATTCTAACATTAAATTTGTTGAATATAGGATAAGACGTGATCCCCTGAACGTTCCGAAAGCTTAGAAGGCGACAATATATAGGAAGTCAAATTTGTGGCGCAAATAGACCCACGGCCTTTCTTGAAAGCCGTGAGTATAAGAACCACTAAGCGATCTATCAATAATGTGTGGTGGAGCTCTGTACAATCTTTCGCGACAGGGTCCGTGGTTGGCCCTAGTCCTCAATCCGAGATGCATAACTAGGTGCCGGAGTGCGAGGCTGAAACTAACACTTAGATCGGTTAACGAAAGAGTGTGGAAAGCGTATGTGGTTCTGCTAGAGTCAAGTAAATTACTACATGAAACGTTAAAGCTACTCGTGTCAGAAATCCACAAAAACAAGTTTTAAGATTTTAACTGTCCTTGAATACGATGGCCTGATGTGCATTTGATGCCTGGACATTGTGAGGTCGAAGCAAAGTTCGTGGATTTGGTAGTTGAAACTGGTGCATCGCAACAAATATGCCAGCCAACACGCATAACACCACGTTCAACCCCGTCCTATCTCGACCTGATGTTAACGAGCTACGAACAACGAGTGCGTGACGTTCGGATCCTGGAGCCCCTGGCTACAAGTGACCACTCAGTGCTCATAGCTGACGTGGAATTAACTTTGCCGTATTCACGTCCGCTGGAACCAGCTTACAACCACTGGAAAACGGACTTTGACGGTCTAACTAGAGCCGCGAGCCAACTGGATTGGTCACTGTCACAACCTGCATCTGTGGAAGATTGTTGGGCATTTAAAAAAGAGATCGACATCATTGTGCTCCCAATTTGTGTCCTTGAAATGTCGGAAGGTTGGACCGATTAAGCCTCATGGGTTTGACAAGCGGTATGGAGATCTGTCCCGGAGGCTGCGCAGACTGGGACAGATTACTTCGCTCTGACTCTGCCAATGACAATGAAGGGTATAAAAGTCAGCGGAACACCTGCAACGGTGCAAAAAGGAATAAGCGCCGACATCTCGAAAAGCAGCTTGCAATCGCCGCGAAGACCGACCCAACGAGAATCTTTGCTTACGTGAAGCGACGCCTGAAGCCGGCAGGTGATGTGCCAGTGTTGGATGGCCCGGACGGACAGCCCCTAAACTCCGGCACTGAGCGTGTGTCCGCATTTGCGGCCCACTTCGCTTCTGTATTTGCAAATGACCAGGTGCCTGTTCCAAGTTCGATGTGTAGCGCTTCTACCGAACTTGACAGTCTGGATTACGGCGTTGAAGAAGTATGTCAACTACTCGCCAACCTTGACGGCACCAAACCTGTCGGACCTGATGGGCTTCAGCCACTGATTCTCAAGTCACTTTCGGTCATCACCTCTCCTGTCGTGACTGACTTTATCAACAGGTTGCTGTCCGAAGGTTTGTTGCCGATTGACTGGAAATGTTGGGTGGTGAAGCCTATTCCAAAAGGTGGCGACGCTAGGAAAGTAGATAACTACAGGCCAATTTGACTGACACCTATTTTGGCAAAAATGGCTGATAAAACCGTGAAGAAAGGGCAGCTGCAGTTGCTACAGTCAAGAGGTACTGACGCCCGCTCAGCACGGTTTTATGCAAGGCCGCTCACGCATTACAAACTTGCTTGTGACGAGGCATGAGTGGTTGTAAGCAATACGAAAGGGGAAGTCTGTCGACGTGATATTCATCGATTTCAATAAAGCGTTCAACAAGGTCAACCATGAGGTTCTCCTTCGCAAACTCAGGATGTGCGGTGTCGGTGGCTCACTGCACCGGTGGATCAGCGAATTTCTTGTTGGACGAAAGTGGAGGGTACAGGTGGACGACCATCTGACTGGTATCCCTCTACACGTGGCGTGCCTCAAGGCACTGTGCTGGGGTCCACTCTGTTTCTGGTCCACATCAACGATCTACCACAGTTTCTCTGGTTGCCGTGTGCCTTGTTTGTGGATAATATGAAAATTTGGGGGGAAATTGACGCTCCCGATGACTGCGGCGTACTTCAGCAAGCCCCCATCCGCCTAACCACATGGCCTGTTGAATTCCATCTCCCGGTCAACCCAGCCAAGTCTCTATTCATGAGCCTGGGGAAGGGTGCTGAGGGTTGAACCTACACCGTTGACGGCAAACCGGTATGTACCACACCTTCCGTGAAGGACCTAGGCGTACTCTCGCGCTACGATTTGAAGTCCGAAGACAATACGAACAGGCTATATCGTAACGGACTGCGCATGCTTTGGGCGCTCAAACGTAGCTTCGACACATGGTCTGATGTGGTTGCCACTCGCCTCTTCTCTTCCATCATGAGATCAATGCTAGAGTACGGTTCGCCCGCCCACTTGCCGATTACTCGAGGCGAGGCACAAAAGATCGAACGGGTCCAATACGTTGTTAACAGGCTCATCCCGAGTTTGCGTGGCCTGGGGTATGAAGACTGGAGCGAGAAACTAGGACCCTACACCTTGTCCTACAGACTTCATTATGACCTACCGTATATTACATCTTGGTGACTTCCCCATGCTGACGCCAATGCTACACTTACGATAAGCATGCAACACACGCGGACAGGGATACAAACGTGTCGTGCCGGATGTGAGAAGCGAGTCCCCCCACTCACTGTGCTACGAACGTCAACAATCCCAACAAGCAAAACCGCTGAGTGTTCACAAGTGACTGTGAAACAAAATGGTGATGCTGTTTTACGGAGGCGAGATGAGTTACAAACACAAGGTGAGGTTCATATCAAAGACATACACATCATGGACCTGAAGTGAAAAACGATGGAGAAGATTCTCCAAACATTCATGAACAGTGTTTCGTAAAGTGTCTACTTTTGAAATGAATCCAGCTCGCATTTTTACGAAATCACAAAGCGAAATCACAAAGGTGTTCACAGATGACAGCGATAAACAGTATCAAAAATGGCAAATGTACCTCAAGTACACACAGTCTAAAAGAGCTCACCAATTTTTCCCAAACCGATCCAGTGAATTGCGCGGAAGCCAAAAAGGACCAGGCTGAAACCCACAGTGGCTCCAACAATGCTGTGAGTCCCAGAGACAGGTAGGCGGAAAAATGTGGCAACTAGAAGCCAAGTGCATGATCCTAAAAATGAAAGGAAACCCTCGGGCATGGTAACGCCAATCCATTCAGTGTTGACGGAGAAATAACGAGACATAAATGAAAAATTCACTCGTCAATTGAACTAATTTGAGATGACTATGCTTCCCGGTAACTCCATCAGTGCATTTGACAAAAAAAATACACATATGTCTAATAACCAAACCACATTGGCTATTTTGCCACATAAGTGCTGAAACCTTTCTGTTGCTACAAAATGCTTACCTTTCATAATCAAGACTAAGATCTATCATTTGTTCTTACGGAAAACTTACCGCCGAGAGCAGCAACTTGACCAGCCATTAACTTTGCTGTACCGTTATCGAGGGTATCAAACAGGGAAGTGTCCACAATCCCCTTCCGCACGGTGCTTGAAACCTTTGAACCTAGGTTACTGTAATTAAATATCAGATTAGTAACAAAACGTACCCAAAAGCAAGGCCCCAAGTAGTTCACAGATGGTCGCAAGTGTGCAAGCCTGTTTCAACGTCAAGACCCTGGAACCAACACTTGATCCGAATGTGTTGGCAACATCATTGGCACCAATACCAAAGGCCAGGATAAATGCTATTAAGAATCCGACGACAACCATCCATATCTGATCATCTGGTATGAGCATTTTTGATGTTTAAACTATGTCTGAAGCAAAAGTAGACAGGTTCGTTAAATAGAGCAGAACTACAAAAAGTGTGTGGTAAATCTCCTCAGTAGACTAACACAAATACTTGGCAGCAGCAAATACCATTAAAATGACCTGCCGCGGTTGGTAACACTTGTAAACGGTACCAAGTGCACACTGTGTATGGGTACCTATCGGTTGGTGTGTCGTGAGCACGTCATCAGGCGGGCACGCACTAAAAGGATATAGGATAACAGTGAGATTGCTTTGATGGCGTAGAAAGGTTCGCTAGTACGGACCGAACCCGTGGGTATGCAACGGAACGGGCACACATGTGCTTATTTAGATGCGTTGGAGCAGTATGAACTCACTGATTCAGTAAGAAGTAAAAGACATAGAGAAAAGTACATAAAACGGATAAACAGGAAAATTAGAGAAAAGGTTATTAGTGTTCAGAATTACTGAGTGTATGCGCCTTCAATGAAGTAAACAAAGAACCGCAGAAACTGCCGACGATTCAACATGAAATACTGGCTTTCTCAAATGGCGAGGGAATCCTCACTGCTTACGACAGTGGAAACATTAAGTGAAAACATTGCTGAGAGGCCAAAGTCGAAAACCGAGAAGAGCATGAAAGCCACTTAGAAGTGGTTTTGAGAGTTGGAAAGCAGTAAGAGAAGCCAGACATCACTAATAGCAATTTAAAGATGAGAAAAGATATGAGTTCACAAAGTGCATTTCATTTTACAAATGAACTGACACCTGCCTTTTAAATTGGTAGGATAACCATAAGAACTCCTCTTTACTAATGACTGAGTGCACCTAACGGTATACACTAGAAAAACTCATCAGTCAAAAGCAAAGCACCGAAGAGCACCACTGGTTTTACTTTGTTCCAAATCCACAAGGATAACCAACCTTTAAAGTGAGTGATATTGAGTTCCCTTTCCCACTCGCTCGGTTAGGCTATTCGACCAATTCATTCATTATATCCGAGCGAATGACAAAAAGTATGGCTCAACCAATCAGATGCGCTCTCACAACCAACATGAAAGGAGGCGCGAGGTCCACTGACAGACAAAAACATTGGGCCAATCAGAGTAAGAGCTATGTGGTAACTGGATATTCCCTCGTTTGGTCCCGGTATACTGCGTAAAATGTCTGTGAACTATGCACTGGCCTTGTGCTCAGATCCGAAGCTGTCCCCCGTTGCCTAGTCGCATAAGGTGCTGACTGGCGGTGTAAGCCGCTGGTGGTCATGTGTTCGAATCCTGATGGATCCGATGGCTGGGCACTACTGATTATGCTCAACAGGCTGAAATTGAAGTCTAGTGCTTTTCCGGGCATGTGGCCGACTAGCTGATTTGGAAATGGTTGCGACGAAAATTAACTATATCAAAATCCCCTGCTCATGAGTACATCAATATATATTAGCCCTGACAGTTTCTAAGTGCTGTCGTACATAGCTACTGTTAGCAGACTTCGTGTCTTTCGGGGCCAACCCTGTCCTCTGCAATGTTCGTAACTTGCATAGCAGTGGAGGATAAGGCGCGCTATATCATAGTTGGCTTGTAAATCATGACGGTCCGGTGTCCCCCGTGGCCCAGTGGCATAAGCTGCTGACTTGCGGTGTAAGCCGCTGGTGGTCATAGGTTCGAATCCTGATGGATCCGATGCATAACAGGCTGAAACTACAGTCCAGTGATTTTCCGTGCATGTGGGCGACTTGCTGATTTGGAACTGGATGCGACGAACTCTCAATTGACTATATCAAAAGCTCCTACTCATGAGTACATCGAAGTAGAGTTTGCCAGTTGGAGCGTTGACTACGGTTGTCTACGTCAACATATGCGCCTTTTCGAAAGGGAACGAGCCGCTCACTACGGACTGCGCAGCTACATGAGCTAACACTCCCTAGCCAGACCTCATTATAATGTCTATGTAATTAGCTGGTGTGGAAGGCATTGCTGACGATTCCCGAAAGGATGAAACGCTTGTGCAGTGCTTTTCCAGGCGTGTGACGGTTGTCTGAGTGAGACTAGATGTGACGGATTTCTACCTATACCATTCAACTCCCACCACTACTCCTCTGTAACATAAGTTCACCTAGCTTATTTCTATTTGTCATATCGCTTACGTACGGTTGGCACTTTATCCACGTATTATAGACAAAACACAACGACGATTGCGCTACGGATGTAAGTTTGGAGGAGTGTTCGGAGCTGCACTGGAGGTCGTGATGTCGAAAATCGACTCGTATCCATCAGGACCGTCCACTCCGTGGTCCTATACTATCCAAGCGGCGACATACAAACACTTTGTAAAAATATGAGTTGTCCTAATATCCGCTAAGTACATTGGTCACGTTTATTGTTCATACAAGAATGACCGCAGAACAGCATTATACAAACCACTGAATGTGAAGCTATCATTGAGTTAAAGCCGATTAGGCCACTGAATAGTCACATTGAGTTAGTTATTAGACAAATCGCGATATGGTTTGTCAGTGTGCTAAGCACGTGGTCCTAAAAGTAACATACACGGTTGGCAGCATCCGATTCCGGATTCGCCTGTCACTACGGCATCCATGGTGACGGCCACAGGACGTGTGAGTCTACTCAGGGAAAACGGGTAACTTGCGCTGAACTACCCACAGCTCCATACACACAACTTATATCCGGTATAAACTAGAGGGAATAAGACCGGGAGGCATGTGGATGGGAGCCACGTTTCATCAACGGAACCGGTCCACACACCTTCAACATGCATAGAAGCAGCATTCCCGTCTATCTATGCAGGAAATTATGCGTATCAGATGTACACTATGCGGTGGCTGGGTCCTAGTCCGCTCCACGCTGGATGGAACCACTCTTTGGGTCTAGCACGGACACGAGGACCGGGCACTCCGTTCCCCCAGCAACGACTCACATTCTCCTGGAACCAGTAATCGAGGTGGAGGGTGCTAGACAGGTAGGTATCTTGTCAGCATTCACATCAAGCGCAGCCATACCGGGGATATCGAATAACAAACATAGAACTTGAAGGAAAATAAATACGCAAGATTGACAGGGAATATGCAACAGAAAAACAGAATTGAGTAAAGCAAATAAAGTGTAATACCTTTTGTCCACATTAACAAGAACTGGGATATCAATCAACAGCCAACCGCTGAAATGCAAGAAACTTAACACGCAGGCGCACGTGCAGGGCAACTTCAAAAATGATGTAGCACACATACCACATCGACCGGATTAGTGGCCTGGGTTAGTAAACGGAACTGAATCAGAATCATCGTACTTACCAAGAGCTGTGCTAAGGATGACTACCTATTCAGCTGACCCATCTTCGCTTACATGCTAACTCGATGTGGACACGCTGGTACCTTATTAAGCCAGCTTGGCTGAGGCATTCGCGACCGCATGAGCTATAGCAACATGCGTTCGATGCCGATGGCCTAGACTTTATCGGTGCCTGTCGCTTTCGTAACCTGCATCTCTTTTCCGCATGCAGCAGTGATCTCTCATGCACCTGGGCAACCGCCCACTTGTTATGCTATCGTCTTTCGCGTAGATCAGGGGTGTACAAAGCTTTTGCAAGAAGGACCACATTTTGTGAAGTAAAAATATATCGGGCCATATTCAGTATGACATTAAGAGAATAACAAACATTACACAGGTAGGAAAAAGTCCAAGCCTGAATTTATTATTTCATGATGAGGCCGCGGGCCAGTTGAAATGTTAGCGCGGTACGGACTTTGGACACCCCCGGCGTAGATCAACCTGGGGGTAGTTATCCCCAAAGGGTTGAAATGGAATTTTACGGCGGTAAATATAAGTGCGGGGGCTGCGTCATCATTCTGCCACCAAAGAAAGTTGACGACAAAAGCATTTCTAGCAATCATGCAACCAACCACATAATCACTATGGAGTAGTCATCAGTGAGTACTCTTAGCGAGTGGTCAGTGAATTAGGTAATTTTCGGCAATAAATTTTATTACCTAACATACAAATACAAGCCTGTAGAACAGTGCAGCTAGATGCCGCCTTTACCGGCTCGCTTGTTGTTCATCTGAGTCAGGCAATCAATCGCCGGGTCGAATTACAGAGTTGAGTAAACACTAAGGTGGCAGAATATGTCAGACGACCAGGTAAAGGAGCGACCAAAGGTTTACAAGGTAGAAAGGATAAAACAGGCGATTAGTATTCAGGGCGTATCGATACAGTGTGGTGGTGGGAAGCCGTCATGCAGGGAGGAATTGAGAAAAATGGTTAAAACAAATGAGAAGCCACTGATATCTGTTAATGTTTGATCAGGGACCAAATATTAAAACAAGGAACTGAATGAACTTAGAGCACGACGCGATGTGCATTAGCCGAAAGGGCAATCATTATACAGAAATTGTTGGAATTAAGCAATATCTACCGTCTCATTAACGCACATCACCTACTGATCTGATAAAAATAGATGTGTTCTCCAGTTTAATGACAAAAAGTAATTAAAATAGTATTCGATTTACGTAATTTGAAGCAAAAATGTAATAGCCTTTTAAATTAACATTTAGGGGTAAATGTTTATAGCTAACCCGCTTTGTGGGTATCAACCCCCAAAAGATGGAAAACCACTAGTGTAGATCAATTGCATTTGATTCCCAACATCCGAAACCATTAGCTCGTGATAAACTCACCTCGGTCATGTTCTGGCAACGTGGCTTCGGTTTTCCCACATTAAGCTGCACGGTATTAAGTTGTCTATATAACAGCTGCTGCGGACACACAGCCCGCTAGGTCGATGGATATTACCCTACCTAAGTAGCAGAATTTCGGTTCTGTCTCTAATACAACCCCAGCAACCTGGATTTGCGGTACGCTCACGGATCTAATTCTAGATGAAGGCTGAATAAAGTCAAACAGTCATGCAGATGGAAATCGGGTGTTGCTCGCCCGAAAATACAGCGTAAATCGCGGCATAAATTGAGATTGCGTGCCGCAATCCAATCACACAATGTGTACCCCAAAATGGC